TCCGGGCATTCAAAATGTGGCCCGGGAATGGAGTTCTGGGAAGTCGAAGAGCACGAAGTGGCCTACAGTTGGCTCCGGGCATTCAGAATGTGGCCCGGGAATGGAGTTCTGGGAGGTCGAAGAGCACGAAGTGTGTGACTGTTGGCTTAAAACGACTTCTGCGGCACCCTGTCCGGCACCCGCCCAGACCCCCCTGTGGAGTCATTTGCTGCTCTCTTTTGAGACCACTAGAAACCTATCAGTCTTCGCTGTTAGGTAAAAAAGGAATCTGATTGAAATCTACCCCAAAGGATTGCCCCAAACGACATTGCATTGGTTTTGCATTGCGTTGGCACTGCGTTGGCATTGCGCTGGCGAGTCCTCTTCGGACGCTCCACAGGAAAATTCTTACGAATCTACCCCACCAAGAAGGATGCCTAGTGACCCACGGACACACACACACAAGAAGGATTCAAAATTATCCCGGCAAAGCAACCTAACAGCGATGTGTAGAAGCATATCTGAAAGCATTCCCCTTAAGATTCAGATGAAAATCCAGTTGTATAATTCTGCTGTTCTCGCAGTCGTAGTCGCATTCGCGATGACAGTCGCAGCGGCAACGGCAGTCGCAGTCACAGCCTCAGCCTCAGCCTGCCTCAGCCTCAGCCTCAGCCTGCCTCAGCCTCAGCCTGCCTCAGCCTCAGCCTCAGCCTGCTTCAGCCTCAGCCTCAGTCTGCCTTCAGCCTCGGCCTCAGCCTCAGCCTGCCTCAGCCTCAGCCTGCATCAGCCTCAGCCTCAGCCTCAGCCTGCCTCAGCATCAGCCTGCTTCAGCCTCAGCCTCAGCCTGCCTCAGCCTCAGCCTCAGTCTGCTTCAGCCTCAGCCTCAGTCTGCCTTCAGCCTCGGCCTCAGCCTCAGCCTGCCTCAGCCTCAGCCTGCCTCGGCCGCAGCATCAGCCTGCCTCAGCATTCAAAATGTGGCCCAGGAATGGAGTTCTGGGAACTAGAAGAACACGAAGTGGCCTACAGTTGGCTCCGGGCATTCAAAATCATGCCCAGGAATGGAGTTCTGGGAACTCGAAGAGCACGAAGTGGCCTACAGTTGGCTCCGGGCATTCAAAATGTGCCCGGGAATGGAGTTCTGGGAACTCGAAGAGCACGAAGTGGCCTACAGTTGGCTCCGGGCATTCAAAATGTGGCCCGGGAATGGAGTTCTGGGAACTCGAAGAGCACGAAGTGGCCTACAGTTGGCTCCGGGCATTCAAAATGTGGCCCGGGAATGGAGTTCTGGGAACTCGAAGACCACGAAGTGGCCTACAGTTGGCTCCGGGCATTCAAAATGTGGCCCGGGAATGGAGTTCTGGGAAGTCGAAGAGCACGAAGTGGCCTACAGTTGGCTCCGGGCATTCAGAATGTGGCCAGGGAATGGAGTTCTGGGAGGTCGAAGAGCACGAAGTGTGTGACTGTTTGCTTAAAGCGACTTCTGCGGCACCCTGTCCGGCACCCGCCCAGACCCCCCTGTGGAGTCATCTGCTGCTCTCTTTTGAGACCACTAGAAACCTATCAGTCTTCGTTGTTAGGTAATGAAATCCTCCACAGAAGGATTGCATTCGAAGCCCTTCACAGAGGGATTCCTATTGAAATCCTCCGAACATGGGTTCGCCATGACATCATCCCACAAAGGTTCTCATTGAACTACACCAAGAGAAGATGCCCCCAATTGGCATTGGCTTAACATTGTGTTGGCATTGCGTTGGAAGTGCGCTGGCATTGCGCCGGCATATCCGAACGCCTCCCTTCGCAGAAGGATTCCTATTGCAACCCCCAGGAGAAAGATTCTCATAGAAATCCACAACAAAGGATTGCCCCAAACGACATTGCATTGGCATCGGATTCGGGTCGTCTTCGCATTGATTTGGCATTGCGTTGGCACTGTTTGAGCATTGCGCTGGCATTGCGCCGGCGTGAGCTGATGCCTCCCTTTCGCAGAAAGATTCCTTGTAAAACCCTCAACAAAAAGGATTCCTATTGAAATCTACCACAAAGGATTGCCCTCATTGGCATTGGATTGGGGTCGCCTTGAAAGTGGTTTGGCATTGCGTTGGCACTGCTTTGTCATTGCGCTGGCGAGACCTACTGCCTCCGTTCGCAGAAGGAGTCCTACTGAACCCCCCCGCAAAAACAATCCTTTTGAAATCTACGACAAAGGATTGCCCCCCAACAACATTGCATTGGCATCGGATGTGGGATCGCATTGGCATTGCGCTGGCATTGCGTTGACACTGTTTGAGCACTGCGCTGACATTGCGCTGGCGAGTTCCAATGCCTCCCGTCGCTCAAGGCCTCCTATTTCAACCCCCAGGAGGACTCCTATTCAAATCCACCACAAAGGATTGCCCCCATTGGCATAGCATTGGCATTGGATTGGGGTCGCCCTGGCATTGGTTTGGCATTGCGTTGGCACTGCTTTACCATTGCGTTGGCGAGTCCTACTGCCTCCCTTCGCAGAAGAGTTCCTATTGAAACCCTCCGCAAAAAAGATTTCTTTTGAAATCTACCACAAAGAATTGCCCCCCAACGACATTGCATTAGCATCGGATTTGAGATCGCATTGGCATTGCGCTGGCATTGCGCTGGTGAGTTGCAATGCCTCCCTTCGCACAAGGATTCCTATTGCAACCCCCAGGAGGACTCCTATTGAAATCCACCACAAAGGATTGCCACCATTGGCATGGCATTGGCAGTGGATTCGGGTCGCCTTGGCATTGGTTTGGCACTGCGTTGGCACTGCGTTGGCATTGCGCTGGCATTGCGCTGGCATTGCGCTGGCGAGTCCTCATGGCTCTCTCCGCAGAAGGATTCCTACTGAAATGTTGTATCTATCTTCCACGGAAGGTTTCTGATTGAAATCCACCGAAAGAAAATAATCCCAATCGGCATTACATTGGCATTGGTTGACAATGGATTGGTATCGCATCGGCATGAATAACGGCACAGCTGAAGGAAGGAGTGCATATATTCATATATAGAGAGAGGTAATACAAGGACAATGATGAAGAAAAGGGTGCAAGCTAGTAAGAAAACCCTCTGGAACACTGAGGTACTCCACAATCCCCCAGCCTCTCCTCCTCCTCCCCCCCATCTCCTCGCTCGTCCTCCCCCTGGCGGCCCCACGACATGCCGAAATGCCACATTTGCGGGCGCGTGTGCCGAAAGGGGTGGGGAGGCCGCTCCCGATCTGCGGGCTCAGTAATCAAACGAGGTGCACCACTGACTGGCCCGAACGACTTCTCCTCCATCGCGGAGGGGAGGCCTGGCGAGAGGCGAAGGGGAGGGGAAAAACGCCCCACTGCCAACAGTCTATCCGCGGACCACCTCAAGCGCGACAACGTGCCCCCGATCCATCTGCGGGCCATCCCAGGCGCGGGGAGGCCCTCCGAGGACCCAAAAGGACTACGGAGCAGTTCCTGACCTAGCCAGGAGCGCTTCGAAGCCGCCCCGAGGTGCGACCGCGGGGCCGCACCAGGCCGCTCGAGGCTGGGTTGGCGGGGGTCCGCCTGCTCGGCCCCAGCTCCGGCCGCCGCGGCCACGGCCGGAACGGCACGGGCGCTGGGCAACGGCGCCAGCGGTGAGGCCGTGGCAGCCTGGCGCGATCGCGCTTAGACAAGGACCTCTCCTCCCCCACCCTCGCTCCCTCGTTCCCCGCGCCCTGCCCTTTCTCCTGTCCCTCCCCACCCGTATCCTACATGAGGAACTCCGCATACGTATCCTGCGGTTGCAATGAGATGTCTATGAGTGTTGCGACGAAAGAAACCCTGTCCCTCCCCACCCTCCCTGCCCCCCCGTCCCCCATGCCAGAACAATGGAAATATCCACCGCCACTACTAGGCCTCCGCGGGGCCGCGCGGGGCTTTCAGGCTGGACCGGCTGCATGGTGGCGGAAAATTGCCCCCTAACGACCCCTTCCTTCCAGGAGGAGGTACTCCTCCTCCTCCTCCTCCTCCTCCTCCTCCTCCTTCCCTCCTCCTCCTCCTCCTCCTCCTCCTCCTCCTCCTCCTCCTCCTCCTCCTCCTCCTCCCTCCTCCTCCTCCCTCCTCCTGCTGCTCCTCTCCCTCCTCCTCCTCCTCCTCTCCCTCCTCCTCCTCCTCCTCCTCCTCCTCCTCCTCCTCCTCATTCTCCTGGCGATATGTGGTTATCGCACGGCCCATACTGAAATCATAAGAACTCGCAAGATCACAACGTCCGCGAAACGCTCACCATCAAGCATTCCATCAACGCATCCTGAGTACAATGTTACTGCCTCCACATGGGAACGCATTGTGATCCACAGCACTGTCCCGTCCGCTCTGTGGCCCAATGAATACTGCCGCGTTCACGTGCAGCCGCGGGTCAAGCCAGCACTGCACAACGGCGCCAACACCAAAAATCACACCCACCGTCGGCTTCGGCGGCAACCGTGGGCGCACCCATATCCTTGAGTCTGTCCGCCACCGTGCTGCTGGGCACGGAGCGGGCGTGTCCGCAGGTCCTCTGCCTAATCCCTTAAGCCTCAGCTCCCATCCCTGAGGAGTCTTCAAAGAGCCTGGAGCCCAAATTGCCAAATCCCCCAGGGATTCTCGCGTGCCCCCTGGGCTACCCCGCATCTTCTCGCGTGACTTTTTGGTCTCCCCAGGGCCTGGCGCGCCACCCCGAGTAAACATGACTTAACACACTTCCTAAAACTGTGTCCTCTTTTGGGCTGGGCGTGCGAAGACCTGCCCCCCCCCTTGAAATACCCCACATCCCGGCGGTTCATCTGCAACTCGAAGTCGAAATAATCAGGCGGAGGCGGGGAAGGTCAATGGGCAGGTTCACGGGCAGGGTCTCACACTTAGCAAGCTGGTTCATCAGCAGGAAAATACTATCCCACGCCAGATGCACCACCGCCTCGCGTGGAAATACGCCGCCAGAGAGATCTGCTCTGCATGGGCGGGGGGGGAACTTTGACAAGTGGCTTGCTGGCGAGGAAGTAATCCAAAATGCAA